CGCGGCGGCCAATGGCGCGCGGCGCTGCGGCGGGGGCGGTGCAGGAACCCCCGGCCGCTGACAGCCAAACTCGCCAACTCCGCCCTCGCCCCCGCGGGATCCCGGAGCCCGAGCCGGCCTCGGGCTCAGGCCGCTCGAACTGCGCGGCGAGCGAACATGGCAGCAGAATAAGGCCGGGCCCGGGTCGTGGCCTCCGCGCTGCAGCTCTAGCTCCTCGCCCAGCACCCTCAGAGCCGCATGCTTAGCTGGCCTCCTGGTGGCCGCTGGTTTATTTTATTCGGAGCGGCGGGCGGGGAGGAAAGGGGCCCCGCAGCCCCGCCGGTCCGGACTCTGGAAGCGTGTCGGGGCTCGTGCGTGCGACTCGCCGGCTGAGGAAACGACGCGAGGAAGAGCCGGTCCCGGCTGCGGCGGCTCGGGCGCGGGGATGAGCCAGCCATGGAGCGGCCTCGGCGGGGCGCACGCAGCCGGCCGGCGCTGCGGCGGGGGCGCCGCCTGAACCCAGGCTCCGCTGGGCTTCGGGGCCTCAGGCGCCAGTGGAGGGTCCCTGCCGCCGCCTCCGGGAAGGACAGGAGCCCCTCGTGGCGGACACTGCAGCAGTCACCGTACTGAGGCGCCCGAGCCTGCTCCGTCCGCAGCTCGGTGCGCTCTGGGCACCCGGGCGCCTTGCCCGGTGTACGGCGGCTGGCGCACCGCGGCGAGCTGGGCGCAGGACTGGCTAGAGGGGTGTGTGTGCGCGTGTTCGAGCGGAGATCTGAGCTAAAGCAGAGCCAGGCGGACCAGAGCAGCCATGCTTCCCGGGGTGGGCGTGTTCGGCACGAGCCTCACGGCCCGTGTCATCATCCCGCTGCTGAAAGACGAAGGCTTCGCGGTGAAGGCGCTGTGGGGCCGCACGCAGGAGGAAGCCGAGGAGCTGGCCAAGGAGATGAGCGTCCCCTTCTACACCAGCCGCATTGACGAGGTGCTGCTGCATCAGGACGTGGACTTGGTGTGCATCAACCTGCCGCCGCCCCTCACCAGGCAGATCGCTGTCAAGACCCTGGGTAAGTGACCCCTCCCCCACCTCCCCTCCAGCCTTCTTTCCTTTCCAGGTGCTTTTCCTGTCTCGCCCCCTCTTCATATCAGCGGCTTACGTGGCATCTACGCCCACCAGGGCACCTGATAGCCCACACCCCACTTTCTCCTTCCTCATCCCTGGCCTTCCCCACACCTACGCTTCCCTCCTCCCTTCTGGCACCACCTGAACGCGCTTCCCCACGTGTGTGGCGCGGAGGCTGGAGCAGGCGTGTGTTCCGGGGAAGCGGACCAGGCGGAGGAAATGCTGCGGAATAGGGAAAGGCTGCTTGAAGGAGACAAAACTAAGTCCCCAGCTGTGTGTGATGCGCCGGGGTGTGTGTGTGTGTGCGTGCGTGCGCGCCTGCGACAGGCGAGTGCGCGCCTAGGAACGCCGGAATAAAGGGCCCAACACGTGTTTCGGGTTTTCTTGGGGGCAGTAGACTACCTGACTGTTAGCAGCTGTGGCGCCCTGCTAGGATAGTTTATTTCTTTCTGCTGTGAGTTAGTTTAGTGTGAGATTAGAGAGGTGACGGTCAGCTGGAATTGTTTCCTTTTCGCTGAAAGCAAGGGTGGCGGGAATGATTGGATGGGGGTGGGGTGGGGAGGGGATGTATTAGGATTCGGAGGCGGTTGGGAGGTCATAGGTTGATTCAAATTTATCTGAGAAAACCAGAGGGATTTAACTTTCGAGTGCGGCAGCTCAGGAATTATCTTCTGCGCATACTTGGAGTAATGGATCTTAAAATCTTAGGGGAGGGCGCAGTAGTTCCAGAGGCATGGATGTTTGGTGTGCGAAAAAGCCCCACGCTGCCAGTTTCACGTTAAACATGGAATAGTCCCTCCTTAATTCCCCGCAGTAGTTCCCAGGCCCGGTGTTGACAAGCAGGTGGGGATGAGCCTTTCAGCCTTCAGAGGCTGCTTTCCCCCAGGCAGACGGGACCATGTAAGAGCAAATCATCAGTCACTACCTTGCCCAGAGGAAAAAAGAAGTACATGTTTGTCCATCAGCAGTTCTCACACGAACCAGGAAGGTGGCTCCCTCCTTACCATCCTGAGAAAATGTTACCGCCCACCTTTGAAAGTTGGAATTTTTGTTGGCGTTTGAAAGAACGTTTTATTTTTAAAACGTGGTATGGATTTAGGGTAGGTGGCATGGACATATACTTCAATTCGATCTTCTGAGAGCTATGACCAGAATGTATAACTCTTTCACCCTAGAAAACCATTTTTTTCTCAAGCCCTTCTCTTGTTGACTCAGATGGGACCTCTGGTAGGATTCCTAAGGAGGCTCTCCAAGGCGGTCAGTTTTCACGTTAATTTTATTAAGCTTCTGATCTTTGTTGCCTGTTGTCTTTGGCCTTGAATTGAACGTCATTGGGTTCTGGCCAATATTTCTTTTCTGTTTGATCTAATGTATATGTTGGATGGCTAACCTCTGGGCTTACAATGGGTCTGTGCATTTAAAATAGATTATAACCATCCTATAGCATAAATCTGTTAGGTCGGTTTGTAGAAAACAGGTCCATTTTGAGTCCTGTCTCTGTTGGAGAGCTTATAACTGATCACATCAGAAAGACCTTGTTGTAACATCGCTCCCCACACCCCCCCAGCCCAGGGTAGTACAGTCTGCAGATCAGACCCACAGAGCAGGTCTCCTGGAGGGTGGCAATTTGGGGAACAAGGATGTCCCTGTTTCCTGACAGTCTCTGGTTCTTTAGCCAGGAGAGCATTTGGGGCTCTGGCTTTGAGAGAAGTGGCACAAGTTGTACATTTCTGGATACTTCTTTGTTCTTACTTTCAGACATCCCTATGATTTTTTCCTTGACAAGGCTAAGGTGGGTTACTTTTTCAAAACCAAGAGTAAGAGGCATGAGAAATAGACTTGGTTTAATAATCATAACTAAGGAACAGGGGTTTGTTCATATTTTCAAGATAAGTCTTGGGCTTTTTTTAAATTCCTGATTTCCCAGGTAATTCGAGGTAGTCTGTGATTATAGGAAATGTGGAGGCATTGGATTGAGAGATAGCTGAATATTAGGCTCATTCCAGGCTCTATCTTCACTGGAAAATCCCCAGACGTGGCTTTCCTTCTCATTGTACCTGCGAGTACCAGGCAGGGTGGTCATCTTGGTTTGTTTAGCTGTCAGTTAGACGTTCAACACATACGACAGAGGAAGTGAAAAACCGCAGCAGTTATTGGGCCAGTCTGACCGTTGGGGGTTTATAGATAATAGTGTTTGCCTGGGATTGAAACAAGCCAGTCCTGACTAGTCCTGGCCTAGACGATTTGTCCTTCCATCAGCAAAGGCATGGGCTTTGGGTTGCTTCTCTAGCAATGGTGAGAGATCTGTGCCCCTCCCCTCCACCCATACTGGTCACAGGCCGACTGAGGTGAGGGGCTGATGGGGGGACCGGAGACATAAAACTTGCAATCAGTTGAATCACAGCGTTCTCCTTTGATTACTAAAAATGTCCTTGAAATCCCTACCTTAGTGAACTAGCATTTCTCTGTTGTAGAGACTTTTCTACAACGGATCATTTCTACAGCGTCCAGGGCTGCCTCTTGTTATGTACCTACCATGTACAGTGTGGTAGGAGCTATCTGTAAAGTGTTTCATTCCATGACTAAAATAATCCTCTAAGGTAGGTACCCATTTTACAGATGAGGCTACAGTCGAATTGCTTCAGGACACACAGCTAGAGATGTGAACCCGCCGTTGCTCCTCCCCTAGAGTCTTCCCTTCCTCTCCCATCCCCTAAACTTGCTCCTTGCCTCCCTTCTGTCAGTTGCAGCCCAGGTGAGATGGTAGAAGTTAGCCTTTATTGGTGTTGACCCTACCCATGGAATGGGTTCCCAGATCTGGTTGATGCCAGCTCCTCACCTGTCTCGTATCTGTTCCTGCTTCTGCATCATTGCTTCCTCCGTAAAAGGACCGAGGCTCTTACCTCGCTTCCGAATTAGGCTCCAGTCTGCCCCTCCCTAGCCCTGCCTCTACCCAGCTTCCATGCTGCTGCCAGAATTACCTTGAAGACCTGCAGACCTGATCACTTCACTGCTCCCCACTTCCATCACTTCTGGGAAAACCCAACTTCTTGGCTTGATGGGCAAGAGCTGACCTCTAATGAGCCTGCCCAGCCTCATGTCCTGCTGCCTGTTGTGGAACCCTGTGCACTTCAGCTAAACCAAACCACAGGTGTTTCTTGGAAGGGCCCTGGTCTGTTCATATGTCCATACCTCTGTCAGGAACATGCTTCTGCCTCGTGTGTATGATGGATGCCTTTTCATCCTTCAAGACTCAGCTCCAGTGTTACCTCCTCCCAGAATTCTTGTCCTCCATCCTGCACCCCCACATACCCATCTGAGGTCTCAGCACCATGTAGCTCCATCTTTTCTCGCACTTATTTTAATACATTTGTTTAAAAAGTAGATTTTATTTAGTTATTTTAAATAGGTTATATATTCACATGGTACAAATTTCAAATGCTGTTAACACATTTAAAATAGTACATGGTGAAGTGTTAAGTGTCCCCTAGTCGCTGTCCTTTAGCTGGAGGCAATCATGATTACAAGTTTTTTTGTCTCCTTTTGAAGATTTTTCTGAGTA